CTTTTTTCCAGAAACCTGCAAAAAATTCATTTCCATATTTTCTGGTCACCAGTTTTATTTACTTCTTAAACATTTTATGATGCATATAGTTTTCTTGTTTTGTATTCATTGTTTGTATTAATTGACAACATAGTTAAGTCATTTTACTTTTGTTTGCCTTTGATTGTTTTTATCAGGATATATTGAGCATCGTCAAATGAAAAATAATCTTTTGGTTAATCCTGGTGCGTTTACATTAAGTTAATTAGCCACTATTGCAGAATCAGAGCCGTATTATACAGAAAATATGAGCATTTTGCATAAGATTAAAAAGCTTTTTGGTCTATAAACATGTTGAACCCTGAACTCAAAAAACAGTTTATATTATTGCTTCACCTGGTTCTAATTCTGTAATAATCTAAAGATAGAAAGTGACAATTTTTTTAATGTGAATAAGCAATTACTATAATAATCAATAGTTGCAACCCTAAAAGAAATACAGGCAAGTATTTATACAGCTGTTGGTTATGACTGTTTATGAAACTATTCCCAAATTATCTGAAATTAGTATAGGATCTACAATAAAACATAATTAGCCAGAAAAAAACAAACATATGATCATTTGTGTCAGATTGGCATCAAATGCATCAAATAATGTTAACAGAATCAACTAAGAAATACTTAATATATTATCCACATTCACACAAATCAAGCTTCTAAAGAAATGTCAGAAAATATCTAAAAAATAACTGGATCTGCTGGCAATGAAATAAATAATAATCTAATTAATAAATACCAACAATAATATCCATCATAAATCTATCTATTAATAAAACAATATGTGAATAAATGACATTTTACCATCCAAATACCAACTGAAGTAGCAACAAATATCGACTGAATGGACCAAGAAGGTGAGAAGACAAACAAACCTATAATTTATTCAAACAACTTATCAGCAAAGTTTAGCACCTAATTATTTTCCTCAGCAGAGTGATTATTTCCACAAACATCCACATTTTATTTATTGGTGAAAAAAGAGTCCAAACACAGAAAACCACCAAAAAACAAACCATAAATTAAGAGATGCTTTCTCACTTCCATCAACATGAAGTTCTGCTGTAAGCAGCAAACTCTGACAAACACCCAAACTTCTCCACAGCAGCAGGTAAATAAACTCCCTGAGGAGGATGAGGAGGACGAAGCATCCAGCACCAAAGTGTTTAAGAAGCTCTGGGTTGGACCCGGACCCCCCAACCGGACGGGAACCAGGCAAACATCCAAGCCGCCTGCTGAACGGCATCATGGGACTCTGATAATAGAAAACAGCTAAATGAAAGCAAATCCCCTCTAAGTCGTTTTCTCTGCTCTGATCTGCGATGGCGGGAGACATGATGAGAACCGCCAAGCAAAAGGAGCTGGCTGAGCATCCGCTGGTTACTGTGGCAACAGGGACAGACATCCCCAAACTGTATCCCGTTTCTAAAATGTCACCACCTTTAGCGGGTCACCGCGGGTCAAGCTGGAGCACTGAGCCGGGCAAGGAGCTCACTGGGAGGACTGGGAGGAGAACTGGACACAAACTGGTGACCATGGGATGGCAGCAACACTTTCTACAAGAATGATTTGGTTTATCACTACAGCAACAGTCAATCAATATAGTTAAAGACTTTTACTTTGAAAGAGCATAACCTCCTTGTCCAAACGTTAATTGATTTAAACAATTGGTGCTTTAAAGCTGAAACAATTAGATCCCTAAAATTCAAACCGCTTTTCAGACTAAATAGTTGTTTTTAAGTTTCAAAATTTGTTTTTCAGATTCATTCTTTCTTTTTTGGAACAACCTTTAATTTAGCTCCATACAATCTATTGTCAGAATCCAATTAATTTGTCATCAATGTCAAAGTTTTACAGTGTTAATGTTGTAACCAACCTGCTGATAATATAGCAAAAAGAAAACAGATTGTACTAATTTTTTTGTTGAATTAACATTAGAAATCCCAAACTAAACATTGTACAGCTGCTATTTCAGCATTCAATGAACTGAATATCATGTCCAGGCGGGGCTTGGCCCCCAGAGCTGCAGGATCCTAAAGACGCCCCTGTCATTAAGCTGTAATAATGAACAACAATACATAATATAATGATATCATCACAATAACATGCAACACGAAACTAATAGGAAGTGAAAATACAAAAAGAAGCTGATTATTAATGTTTAATTAAAGTTAGACTGAAATAAAAACTTGAAGGTGTTTAAAAACATAAAGTATATATTTAATAAATTATGGTTATTGTTGTCAAATAAGCTAGCAACTGATCAAATATGAAGCTATACACCTGCACACAGTCACCAAACATCAATTTTTAAACAACATATCAAACATAAAGCGTTTAAAACACAAAATAAACCTACCGGAATGAATTCAACCCTGGTTTTAATCCTTTAATCAGCCAGAAACAGGAGAAATCACCGGTTCCCGGGTCCACGGTCCGCGTTTTCCTGCCAAAGTCTCCAACGGTCTGACTCCGAGCTGCCAGCGCGTGCGGAGAAAAGCTGACAGCGGAGGCGACTGCGCATGCGCGCTGCCTCAGGTGGAGGGAACCCCCGCTCTCTCTCTTTCTCTCTCTCTCTCTCTGTCGCTCTGCCGGACCCGCCCACCCGTGGGTGTTCGGTCCAGATAAGCTTCGTTCCTGGAAGAAAACACATGAACAAAAAACTAAATTGTTTGTAATCAACAGAAAGAGGAGGAAATTAAGTATTAAGCTGTTAAACACAACAGTTACTGAAGAAAATGCAAAAGTTGGTATTTTAGGAACTAAATGAAGAAAGAACATATTACTAAAGTAAAAGTCAAAAGTAGAGTGCAGTAAAAGTACTTTTGACAAAAGTATCCTCATGCTGATATGCATGTAGTGACAGCAAAAAGAAAACTTTCCTTTTAACAGGAAGAAACTCCCAACAGAACCAGAGCCTGGTTTAGCGTGATCCACTGATCCAGGAGCACTTTCTACCTTTTGAGCCATGTCAGCTCAGAACATGGTATTAGCTATCTGTTTGTCTAAAAGCTTGGCACATTAATGTAAATGGTTAAAAAACAACAAAAACATTTGAAGTGTTAACATTCTTTGGCAGCTTCATAAACTCTTTCTTTGAGTCCATTTAGAGACTTTGAACAGAACTTTCTCAATAATGAGGCGCTCTTTGTAAAGCTCCATTCTCAGACTGAGCTGTTGAAGGAAATGAGGCTGCATGCAGAGCATTCAGACTCAAACTGACAAACAGTCGCGCCGCTTGTTGTTGCCAGGTGGATAATCGTGTTTCTAAAGCAGCACAGGCTCAAACAGACCAAACCCTCACATAATATCACTGCATTCATCTCCCGAATAAAGGAGGACAAACTCTACGGCACGCTGATGTCATTTTATTGTTCAAACCCTGAATTAAATTAAAACAAACTGCTGTAATCCAAAGGCGTTTTTTGTTTGGCTGTTTTTGATGGACATTTATAAAAACCCTCCAATATCAGTTTTTCATTTTTAGATTCTGCTTTGCTGATCACAGCGATGACTCACAGGAATCCCCTTTTATCCCAAGCTTTAAAACAAAGAAACAAAGAGGACACTGTGATTATTTGTGGCTTATAATTATAATTAGATGTTTTTTCATGGAAAACATGGACCAGGGCTTGAATAATAATGTAAGGTACCGCCATTTTGAAACCCAGTCTGTGTTTATAGGAACCTCGTTTCCTCGCTGTGATGCCCAAGGTGACCTGGAGAGGAAAGGTGGGTACATATTTAAACATTTATTATTAAAATGTACTTATAAAGACTTCTTTTGATTTTTAGAAGCACTTTATTACCAACACACCGTTTAAAGAACATAATGTTCACTAAATTGAAATTAAACCTGAAATAGTTGCAAAAACAAGATCTTGCAAATTATTTTTGGTCAGAAAACAAAATTATTTTCAGATCCATAAAACATTTTTAAGGTAAACCACACCCCTGGAAGTACCTTTCATTTAGTCTCATTTTATCACCCAGTGAGTGAAAACATGATTCAAACTTCACATATTATACAATATATTCACATCTAAAGCAGCAATCAAAGATGTTTGATCCAAAACATTTCAAATGTCCAAAATGTAGGGATTGTTTTATAAAGTAGATTTTCCTTTTCCTTAAAGTTTTCTTCACAGATCAGCCTCTAGACTGTGAAAGTGAAAGAAGAAGACGAAGGTGAAATCCGAATTATGAGAGTGGAAACCACCTAAAAACCAATGGGTTGAACAAATCATGTTAACATCAAATCCACAGAAACATGTCAGTAATTAGTTGGTGTATTTCACAGGCTCAACACGCAACTTTCTATCAATAATAGACAAAAAAAAAATCGTACATTTTTCCAGACTTTAACCTCAGTGAATCTTTCTAGATAAAGGTAGCCATGATCATTTGTTTGAAGTGAGAAGATGAAACGCTGACACATCCTGACTCCAGTGGAGAAATCCCAGTAAAATCCCATCAATGTCTCTGCTATTGATGCAGGAAAACTGGAAATAAATCCAGAACTTCACCCAGAGGAGAAAAATCCCAAACAGCTGAGAAATAATTAAACTTAAAAAAAGTCAAAGAAACTGAGGAAATAATGCTGCATTAACGTCTTACTATGTGTTTCAATAAGCAGATTTGAAGAAAAGATAAAAAATTTTCACCCTTTGCTCAGTGTCAATTTATTTTAATTAATTTCCTGCAGATTCTAACATATTTTTCACGTAATCTTATGAAAATGTCATTTTGCTTCATAATGAACTTTTATGAATAGTTAAAAATAAAAAAAAAAACAATAAATTCCGCTTCAATTTAAAATTAAATAATGCTGAAACAAGAATATAAACTGATTAAATCAAACATCAAAATAATAGTTTGGGAGTCACAAAATAAAGATTTTATTGCCTGAAAATATAAGAATTTAAATCTGGAAGGTTTCCTGTCATATTCTAAAATAAAACAAATTTATCTCATCAAGGAGTCGTTTATTCAAGGCAGCTGTTTGTTAGATATTGGCAGCTTAAACAGAACTAAAGTCAGGACTTTATTGCACACAAGGATCCACAGTATTTGCATAGTTTGGCTTGAAGGACAGAAAAAAAGAAATACATTCATAGGTACAAGAGCAAACAAACAGAAAAGTCATAGCAAACACATAAAGCACATTTATGTCATGTCTTTTAGAAGAGACATTTTGGTCCATATTTGCTCCCAACTTAAAGATTTGGTGTTGAAGAATATCTCAAATAACGGCTCTGAAACCGTCAAACGAAACAAATACTTCACTTTTTCCCTCCTGGGAATAAACTGGGATTTTACAGATTAAACTGAATAAAGTGCAGAAAGCTGTAAAGAATCTGGACGAAGACCAAGCTGAGATTAAAACATTAAAACATGGTCGGTCTGTGCAGAGTCCTGGAGGAGATTTTGTGGGATTATAAGAAAACACTAAGGATTCATTATGAAGGAGCTGTCTTGGTGTGAGGTAGCTGACCATTGTTTGGGAGGAACATATTGGGGACATAATGATGTTTTATGGAGCGTTAGAAATCCACAAGGCTTTTAACATGGGCAAACCTTCCTTAGGTTTGATTTTATTGAATTTGAGGCTTCATTCTGGATATGAAAGCAGTTTCCATTGAGCGGTACGGTACGGACCGGTTTGGTCGGCTGATTTATGGTCCAGAACATTTCAGTTTGACTGAATTAAACCCAAACGACTAACGTCTTACTAGTGTGACGACTATCTGTTGTCTTTGTCGCAATCAGCAACATTGTTTTTTGTCCTCCAATCAATGGAGCCTGTTGTGTGACGCCAGCAGCTTCACCCTAATGACCTCCAGGAGGAGCAGATCGGTGCGGTTTGGGTCGGTCATAGCAGCAGTCTGGGGAGTACTGAAGGCCGATCCGGCCATGTTTGTCATAAATCAGGGTCTCCGTCCAGTGAAGGCGTCTTTAAGCACCGCTAAGGAAAGACAAAGTAGAAACTTTCCCATATTTAGTTAGTTGGTGTTATATTGACTCTTACAAGAGAGAAAAATTTTACTAAAATTTAAAACGGCTCAACCTGCTGCTGATGCAAAGCTACAAAGACTTGAACATCATCAGCATACAGTGATCTTCTGTTTCCCTTTTTGGCTTGCAGACAATAAGTTGTCAGTTTATTATTAAACCTCACAAATAAGAATAAAATAAATTGCCGTTGGAATTGAAGTTGTGCTTGAAGAGTCGCTAAATAAATATAAAAATGTTTGGCCTAAAAGTGAAACGTCATTTGAAGGAAACAGCATTTTCATCCCACCGTCTTTAAGAAGGTGAACAAACACAAACATTTAGTTCAAGATTAAACCATCATTGGAAGATTTTCAGCAACATTTCAATTAGATGCTAGAAGAAGAAAGAGATTAAAGATTTGCTGAAGTGCCAACAGAAAGCTAATTAATCAATTGAAACATAAAGCTAAACTTTAACAAAGAAGAAGACGAATACATCAACACGAATACAAAACAAATTTTAGTCTTTGCGCTGAATAAGCCAGAGATATGGCTTGATCCAAATTACTGCTGGTGAAGGTTTTAAATATGCAGTTTGTTGATATTTTACTGGATCTTTATAAACTTAAAAACCTTATGCTTCTCATCTGAATTTGGGCTCAGCTCTTAAAAATGATTTTCCTGAGGTGAATAATGGAAATGTATTAAAAAAGATGTTTTCCAGCCTGTAAAGTCGGAGAGCTGCCTGAGTGTTTAGTTTTCTAATAAAGGAAATGCAAACAGAGGTCTGAGGTTTTACTGGGCTGAGGACCGAGAGCCGTAATCCACTCTGAAGTTGTTTTCCAGCCGTGGCGTTCAGGCACCTTTTGTGACTTTCTGACTGCAGTGGCAGCAGATTTTCAGAGTTCAAAGAGAAGCTTAGCGCCTCTCAAAGGATTTAACGGATTTACCGAACAACGCCTTGAGTCCAGGCCCAGGAAACAAAGAAGGTTTGTTGGTTTTCTTCCAATTAAATGTGTGATTCAAACACAGAAAATTAAATTTTTAAACAATAATAATTTCAGAACAACTTCGTATCAAACCCAAATGTCCCTTTCATCACCCAAAATAAATTACTGTCCTTCGAACTCCCAGCTTTTAGAGCATAAAGCAGAAACCTTTCAAATGCATCTTAAAGTCACTCAGACTGATCTTGACGCTCGTCAGCTCTCCTCCAGCCAGGAGGGGGCGTCAGCGCTGGCGGCGTTTAGATGTTCAACGGCCTGCTGCATGTTTTTCTCCAGGAAACTGTGACATGACAAGCAGTGAGCAGCGACGGCGCTGTGGAGCAGCCACAGCTGGTTGTGGAGGACTTTCACCTGCAGGCAGAGAGCGAAGCCACGGTTAACCAGCTGCTGTTCTGTCTCTAAAGGGATCCCGTTATGCTAAACTTGCAGGTTTTTCTGCTTCCATTTCTAAAAGATTCCATTTCTTCTACTGATTCTAAAAGCAGACGAGTATTAAAAAAAACATTCAATAATTTTTGCGAATAAGGTCATTTTTTTTTGGTGTCTGAAAAATGAGCAGTTTCAAAAACTATCGGAATGTAACGTCATCTAGCTGTTACCTAGCAACCTCTGTGGAATTGCGCTTGTTACCTAGCAACCCAAGCTGAGTTTGGACAGCTGGTTTTATCGGTGTACAATGGCTGCTGGAAAAGACAAGTGTTTTGTTGTTAACTTACCATCCAGAAACCACTGCCTGCATTCTTGTTGGTTGTGCAGCAGGCTCTACTAATGCTTTTCAAAGTTGTACGGTTTTATAATTGCATTTCTGTTTGTAGTCAGTTTCATGTGTGAGTGTAACGGTTAAGTTGGGATTTAAAGTGGCGGCGCTCTAAAACAGCTCATTCTGCTCAACACAGGCAGAACTGAGCAGAATGAAATTCCATCGAAAAATTATATTGTGCTAAAAAAGTAAACAGAAAGATTGAGAAACTGTCTGAATGGAAAACTGTACTTTTAAAAACAGATGGGAATGTATTCTTGAATATTTCAAAATAAAAGACCAATAATGTGAATCTGAATCATTTATATTTATATATAAACTGGTTACTTTTCTCATATAATTGCTGTAATTTATGTACATGCCTCCTGTTTTTTGTTATCTGTATCTGTGCTGTATAAGTTTTTCCTGTTATTGTTCTTTTAATTTTCTGTATAAATTTTTAAAATACCTAATAAACATAATATATATATAAAAAAGTAAACTGTTTTCCTACAGCCTGTTCTAGGAAGCCTATTGGGTCACCTTGAAAGTCATGAGTTGTTGGTTGTGTAACTTGTGTCATAAACAGAACCTTGCGCTCCGTCTCACCCTGTTCTCCTCCAGCAGCTTGACTTTGACGGACAGGTCGTCCCGGACCTTTTCGTACCGCTCCCTCTGGCCCTGGAAGGTTTTCTGGGCCTGCTCCAGCTTGGGCAGGGTGGTGGCGTCGCGTGGGCCCATGTTCAGCTCCTCCAGGTCCACTCGGTATGCGTCGTACTCGATCCTGGACACCAGAGGGGTGAACATGTTACCAGAGTTTTCAACCCTACGGCGCCCTCTGCAGGTCTGTGGAGTGATGCGCTGCGCCCACCTGGCGGCCTCGTACTGCTTGGCGTTGATCATGGTGTCCTCGATGGTTTTGTTCACCAGAGTGTTCATGTCGGAGGTGAAGGTGTTGATGGCCGACTGCAGGGTCTCTGTGCTCTTCGACAGAAACTTCTGAGCCTCGGCGTTCATGTCGAACTCCACCTGAGGTCACGATAGGATGATACGACGTCTGATATGATACAAGATGAAACAAACAAGTCTGACATATCGCAGTGCGTTCACTCCATGCTAAACCTGAACTCCAGTTTGTTTGGGGAGGTATGAATAATCAAACAGTTTCAGTTTATCTGTGAACGCCAAGCAGACCAGAGACCGTTCTAAAAGCAGGAAGAAACTACAGCGCAAGGCATTCTGGGTAAATACAACCAACCAAACACATGGGAGAAATGATTCAGTGTCTTTTACCAAAGTGAAAAGAGAAATCCCACAACTGCTGAAACTCTAGTCCATTTCTGTTCACATTTCCTGAAGAAGGAAGTTTTGCTGCGGTTGCATTTTTGAAGGTTGATGGAAAGAGTCAAATTCAAAAAATGATTTTTTTGTTTGCTTGCGGTAGTTTCCCCACCGATAGAGGCCAATTTTCCTTTTTCAAATATTTCAAACAGTTGAATAGAAACAAAAACTCTGAAGTTTCCTTCAGTAGTTTCTGGTGTAGCGCCGCCACAGGCGAGGAGGAGAACAAGTTTTTCAGTATGTTTGGAACCACACCAGCTGAAAATGTAACAAATGTTGCACTTTTGGTCCCAAATCAACCTGATTCTATTGGACTATCAGGTGTGAAAGCAGCCTAAGCAGAAAACCAGCAGTTTGCTGTGGATCCAGTGGATTTCCTCAGGACTCACGTGGAGGTTCTTGGATTTGAAGCTGAGCTCGGTGAAGGCGGTGGCCATCGACTTCTGGGTGACGGAGAACTGGGCGAACTGACTGGCCAGCGTCTGAGCCAGCTTGGTCATGTGGTCGTAGCGCTGCCGGTCGTCTCTAAGCAGCTCCAGGCGCGGCTCCAGGTCCAGGTCCACCGTCCGGGAGCCGCGGCCCATCCGCTCGGCCAGAGCCTGCCGGGTGTACTGCGGCGGCAGAGACGGCACCGTCAGATCCGGCAGCCGTGAGCGAGGCTGCTGGGTTAGGCTCCGCCCACCTTGTATTTGCTGATGCTCCACTTGCGGACTCGCTCCAGCTTCTCGCTGGCCAGGTTCTTGTTGAAGGCTTCAATGACCACAGGCCCACCGTTGGGTTTCTGGGGAGAGACCGTCACCTCTGGAGACACAGGAGAAATCAGTTTTCCTTTTTAATTTTCTTACACATTTAAATTTCTGTCATGACAGTGCCTGTCACAATAAACATTAAATCAGTTAATCGAATGATGAATTACTGAATCAATATCAATAAACGATAATATTGATGGTTCGAGACCATTTCCCAGTGATAACATGGCTATAGTAAAATAATGCAAAGACTTTATTAAAACTTTAAATTCTAAAGAACATTTAGAAGTGGAAGACATTTTTAATATCCAAAATAAATAAACAGAAACTACAAATAAAATAAAGTCTCTGTAAACAAAACTGTCCTTCAAGAAAAGGACGAGTTGAAACCAAAGAACCAAACAGAAAACTTTTGTCATCCAGTTTTTGGCAGAAAAAAACAAACAAAACAAAAACAGTGACCTTTACCTGTGTTTTCATCCGTTTCCACGGCGACCTCCGCTGAGGTCGAACCGTCAGTCGCATCTTCACCTGAGTGGTTGGAGTTACTGTTAGCTTCCTGCAGGGAGAGGAAACAGTTTATTCATCAAACCATCACTTAGTCCTGAACACAAAGTTCAACACATTTTATGGCAAAAACAACAAAAAGTGGAAGATTATTTTGAAGTATTCAGTTCAAGTTTATTTAATAACGTTAAACAATGTTTAAAAAAAAAAAATAAAAACAACCAGCGACTGCACTGAATTACTGAGTATTAACAAGAAAAACATGAAAACTAATTCTGTAAGGAAACATTAGATGCCAGAAAAATGAAACAACCATTTCCAGCTATGAATCCACATTTCTTCACTGTTCCAGTCGTCACCAGTCACCTCCAGGCTTCCCGCTGCCTGACCTTTACGACCCGGGGGTCTTCACAACTGTCATCCATATTAGATGAAGCTACTCCAGTTGGCTGAATATTATTGCTGTTACTCAGTTTGTAAAAACTAAAATAATAAAGCCAAAATAAAACTAAAATACTTAAGATAAACATTTTTATCTCAAATTATTCTCTAAACTTTAATTTCAAACTGTTTCTGAATGCATCACGACCCCAGCATAAAGAAGTTCAAGGGTCACAAAGCTAACTAATCGAGTTAGCCCAGATCAAAACCTATCAGGGCTGCCATATTGGATATCACTCCCTGCTCCCATCAGCTTGGGTCAGAGAGGTCAGAGGTCACAGGAACAGCCACTTGACACAGATGTTGGTGCAGGAGGGTGAGGTCGGTCCTCACAACAGCAGAGAGACTCAGCGCTGCTGCGTCGCGTTAAGGAGACGAGGAACGCGTGATGACGCAGAACGAGCCCTGATGCGCGCCTCAGCAAAGGTCACATCAAACTGTTCCCTGGAAACGGACTTAAAACGCTCCGTCTCATTGGTCCAGACTGGTCTCACCTTTAAGTCCACGTCGTCATGACGTCTGTCCTCTGGAGGCGTTTCCTCTTCCTCTGTGGTGCTGGACGCCGCAGCAACGTCTCCGTTCTCCTCTGAAGCCTCCATCATCTTCTGAAAGCCTGAAGAGAAAAACAATCAAAGTTTAAAACTTTTAACTAAAGGTCTGTTACTTTCTGCCTCCTCTGTAAAATGCCTTAAATAAATGTCATCTGCTTAAAAATAAGACTTATGAGATCAGAATTTTGGTCATTTTACTGTTTCGGGCATCAGTAGTAACTTCAACCAACTTTAATTTCTAATTTGTAACTTGTTTATTTACCAAATAAAGACTAGAATATGTGACAATAAATGTGAATTAATTGAAGCACAAGTTTTGCTTCAAGAACAATTTGTAAAAACAAAACATCTGCAGCAGTGGTTTGTTTTATATTTTAATCAATAAACTGACTCGTGACTCATTCAGGAGTAAATTATTTACCTCATTTCTGTGTCCAATCCCATCATTCATTTTTCTCAAACATCATGTTATGTCTCCCTCTGCTGGTCCAAAAGCACATCACAGCCACATCATAAAACCATCTAATGGCTTTAAGCTGGTAAACACAGAGAGGCATCAACTCCTGCAGTTATGATGCATTAAACCTGCTTTCTTGAGCAGGACGGATCTGAGGCAACGTCTGCACCCTGGGTGTCCAATATGTGGTGCCGGGGCCATTTGTGGCCTGCAGACTCACTTCCTGCTGACATTTTGTTGCAAACCTTTATAATAAGTTGATCCTCGTTTATCCAGAGACTTTTACTGAAAATCCGACTTTGCTTCACTCAAATTACCTTTCATATGATTTAAATCCTGCTTGTATAACAAAATTAAATTAGTCCAACCAAACCTGAAAGAATATGGAAATGATGCCTCTTTTTAACACAGCAAACATTGAAAATCCTTCATAAATTTTGGATCTATGCTGACTTTTTTTTCTACAAAAAGAAAAACAAAACTCAGACTACTTTATTTAAATTTTATTTGTTTGGCCCATGTCTGCAGCTACTGTCCCTGCTAATAAAACTTTATATAGGCCGAGTACAAAGTGCACAGATCTCATCTTTGACAACTCAGAAGGCCGACCTTTGACCTATCCCGATGGATCACATCTATTGTTACTGGGCAACTGTGTGTTGAAACATGAGGTTGCAGCATAAAAGCACGACAGGAACAAACTGAGGCCTGGAGGTATGTGATCTACTTCTGTTTATGATAAGGAAAATGTTTGCTACTTCCTCTCGAGGACTTGTAATTTACTAAAATATGAAACATGCAGAGCAACAGGTGACTTTATGATGAACTTTTTGCAGAAGTCCTGAATCAACCAGTCATCCTCCAGACTTCCTTGTAACAATCTGCAGAATAATCTCCAGTGTTTTAAAGTTGTTTTTTTTTACAATAATCTTGCAACTTTTAAGCTCCACAGAGACTCCAAAGACTATCTTTAGATAAAGCTGCTAAATATGCATCATAAGACTCAGAAATAAGATTTGAAGACAGTAAAATTTTCCAGCATATTTGAATGAAGCATAAAAACAGTCCGAGTCCCTGATGGGTGTGTTCGTTTCCAAGATCCCCACAAACTTTAATTCACTGAAAACTGAGCCCCAGCAGCGGCAGATTGACCGTTATGACCGTTAAAAATAAAAATCCTCTCTGTGGCATTAAAGCAAAACCACAAAACATTTACGAGCTTTTGGTGTTTTTACCTGTCAACAGAAGCGAGCGCTCCTTCTTTTCTTCCTCTTCAACTTTCTCTGTGTCTGGTTATTTCTACCTCTTTGCTGACTTTTTATTCAGTAAAATGATGACAGAGTTTGTCTAAAAAGTTATCGTTGAGACTAAAAGTGGTGAGAAAAGCGTCCAACAAGTCTCCCGGAAGTGACTTCTGAACGGATTGTTTGTTAGGAGGGAGTGTTCCGTTTTCCTCCTGGGTGCACCGGAGGGGCGGTGACGTTCCCAGGTCACTGGCGGTGCGTTTGGTTTTACGCTCTTTTTCTTCAAAAAACAATTCATGTCTCTTTTGTTACAAAGACAAATTAAAAGATAAACTGACATCAACACATAATTAAGCAAATATTACAGAAATAAACAGTAGCAAATGAAATTATTAACCAAAAAGAAACTTTAAAGATGCAGCAATGTTATTTGTTCCTACCTTTAATGGAAAACCGTCATGTTTACAAAATAAAGAGCTTCTTAAAATAAAAATATCTTCACACCAGGCAGGTAATATAGTAAATATCGGGAAAAAAACAAAATAAACATAAAAACAGTGGATTATTGCCTTCTCTTCCACCGCTTTTGACTTTGAAATGGACAGTTCTGTAATAGTGCGCCATCTTGTGGCTCGAACCCAGAATGCTCAGTCAGGAAATAGCAAGTCTCGCGATACCTCCTATTTTTACTACTGTCTCAAGTCCAAACAGAAAACTAGCGGATAAGTCGGTTATAATCTTCGAAACAACTTTTAAACCCGGTAAGTTACTAAAACCGGTCTTCATAACTGTCAGATTGTAACATTTCTAACATTTAACGTCATGCAAAGTGTTTTTTTAATCACATTTAGGCTGTTCGGGATTAAGTTTCCTGGTTTTGACAACAAATTAACTATAAGCGTCTGAATCTGTTAGTAGAGAGTCAGTTTATTACATTTGGCTGAAACGTCTGATAGTAAATATAACACATTTAAAGGTTGATGCATTATACATGTGAAACATGCATTAACATGTGTAACATGGTAATGCAGGTGTTTTACCTTGAGTTTGTTCTGTGGCAGAAAACTTAGAATTTCATTTCAAAGTTAAAGTTTATGAAAGTAGTTCAAAGCTTTAGAAAACTTTTTCCAATTTATTTAAATGGGACAAAAATATAATAACAGGTGCATATTTTAAAAAGGCCTTACCATTGGTTCTGTTCAGTTATTGTATTATTATTACAGATATTGTTATAAAAGTCTGGCACTGCTTTAATTTTCTTATGTTTTTTACAGCTTGCAGAAAATTATAATTAGAAATCAGATTCCTTTTGTTTGTTCCTTTAGGGGATCTTGTCATTTTTCATCAATATTAAGGAAATATTGACTTAAAAGAAGCTCAAATATCTTTCTGAAGAGTTACTTGTTAGTTTTGTCTTATTTTAAGATATTTGCAGTAGAAACTAGACTAAAATCAGTAAAGCTTTGTGTTTTCACAGTGTATGAAAGTGAGGAACTTCAGCTGCTGTTCGTCTCTTTCTCTCTGTTTTATGTAAATAAGTGTTTATGCAAACTTCTCTGGTTCTTTAGGAAACAATGAGGCCTGTGATGATGGTGGAGCGGCGAGGAAGATGAGGGGGAACCTTCATCAGCTGACGTTTGGATCCACAGAGGAAACATCTGGAAACGCTGCTGCAGGTCGGGAACGAAGGAAAAACACATTCTACTTTATTCTGATCTATTCTACGTTACTCTGGTCACATCAAATCTGATTTTATTCTCTCATCTCTTTTCTCATCAGACTTTATCTGATTATATTCTCATCTATCTAGTCTAATATGTCTGAATTTTATTCTTAATTATTCTAATTTATTTAATTTTCATCTATTGTATTAGTTTCAGTTCTAATCTAATGTTATTTATTGATTCAATCTGCAATTTTTTATGATTTTATTTATTCTAACTTGTGATTTTCTCTCCTTTCTTCTTATTTTTACCTTTATTGAGTCACAAGGAAGCAAATTTTACAAAACATTTCCTCACAATTCAATGCTTAAGAAGTTAATGGGAGAGCTGTGTAATAATAACACACAGGGAAAGATTACAATGTTCGAAATATAGAATAGAATAATGTGGAAGAAAGAAAATAATAAACAAACAAAAACATAATAATTACACAGTTATTTTATTACTGAGTTACTGTTGTTTTCTCATCTTCCTCTTTTCCTGCTAAAGTCTGACATGTTTCTGTCATATTGAATAAAAATAGCCAATTCTTTTTAATCTGTAAACACTAATTTAAAAATAATTAAAATATTTTATTGACCTTTATTTGCTGAATAAATCTGCTCCAGGCTCTGATTCTCAGCAGATTGTCCAGATTTACTGCATATTCTCATATAATGGTAAATAAACTTGTAATCTTTTCTGTTCTAGTCGACAAGCCAGGAAGTTTTTTTTAGTTCTGTTTGTCAGTCAGATTCATAGAATCAAAAGTTTCTGATCGGATGAAGAAATAAATGTTTTTATTGTTGCTTTCCTCTTTAATTTGCAGCCTGACTTCCTGAACAAAAGACCAGATTAATCCAAACAAAAGCAAATCTCTGAACTCTAATCCAGCTTGACGTTTTGTCTTACAGGCGCAGAGATGTAATGTCAGGAAGCTTCCAGAAGATGGCAGAGTTTTGATAGTGAGTAAATAAAACAGAACTAAACCAGAGGAAACATGTTTACCAGAACCAGAAACATGACTAAATTAATCTATTCTATTATTTTCTGCCAATTTTAAATTAAACATGGAATATTTCACTAACCAAAACAGCCTTATTTTCGTATGAATTGAATTCTCATAAGCTCAACATTTAAATAAAAAATTATTTATTCTCAGCAGCAAGAACAGGAAATAGGTTACACTTTAAAAATACTCACCTTATTTACATGAGTAAATAACTGTGTGTTGTTTACATGAGTAAATAAGGTGAGTGGCGGTTTATATCAAATTAAAGCAAAAGTGAAAAGCCTGGTTAATGACGACAAATACAGTTTACTAAATACTTTCCGTCTTAAAGGGGCAGTAACAATGTGTTTTATAGAGACATTTTATAACAAAGTCAAGCAACTGTGTTGCCTTCAGTTGTTAAAAAATGCTAAATATATCAGATGTGACTTAAAATAAGTTTAACTTCCTGATTTAAAGCCTTGAAATTGGGCCTCTGTCTCTTTAAGAAGCTCTTGCTCTTTCTGAAACGCCGCCCTCAGACAGTCGTGCCAACATGGCTCCTGTGTTAAAACCCTTTAATAATGAGCTCAGCAGTTCCACCAGCTTTTTGCTAATTCCTGCTGGCTAGTCTGAAGGAACTGAGTGGGGGAGGAGCTCCATCTTTGAAGGCGGAGCTACGTCCACCCAGGCGTTCTGAACAGCTGATCGGTTGCCATGGAGACTAAAGTATTTCAGTCATTAAAGGATCAGATCAACACCAAATGTGTTTTATAAGGAAAAACATAAAAAAAAACAACAACAAACAACCCCCCAGTTTTACAGAAAACTGCTCCTTTAAGTAGATTTCAGTTTCTCTGTGTCACTTTAATAAGTTGGTCAACCTGTTTCTTGTCGTCTCAGTCAATCTGTTTACTGTAAGATATGATAACCGTTTCAGGAACTTTACACCCAGATAATCACACAACGCACAATTTTAGCTCCAGATGTCAACATCTCACAGTCAAAGGGGAAGTGAATTTATTTGTTCAGCATTAAAACTAAAAGTTTTCATGTTTTTATCGGCAGGTTTTGAGTTTAAAAACTTCAGTCTTTTCAGTAGCAATACTTGACATAAAGATCAAAAAATCATTTAATATTTGAAAAGTTACTCCATCAGATAAACAAAGATATGAAGTTAAATGGACGTTTTTATATTTTAAGGTCAGAAATGACAATAATTCATATAAGAAACAAAAAATAAGAAAATCAATCAAAATATATATTTTTCCAAATCAATTTCTTTCAATAAAAAACTGATGAAACTTAAACAAAAACTGCAGTTTGTCTGTTTTGTTTTGTTTTTCACCCAGTGGGAAGAAAATCCAGAAATTTTACCTAAGTAAGAATAGAAATACTTTACAATAAAATTATTTAAAGTACAGCGTAGTAAAAATACTCCTAAAAGTTACTAAAGTAACTGAGTAAATGTAACTAGTTACTGCCAAATTCTGTGTTTGAGTAACTTTATCTCCATGTTTATGTTAAATCTTAATGGTGAAACCAGAATTAGAAAAAACATCTACATAATTGAAATAACTGTAACTAAATATAATCTGAGTCAGATTAAATTATGGTTTTCCTGTCTGATTCCAGGAGCGCTGATCGTCCCGCCATCATGAATTCGTTGAGGCGAGGATTCGCCAACCTGCAGACGCTGATGGACGGCCGGGCGCCGCGCGGCGAGACGAACAACAACCTGGAGAATCCTGCGGCTGGTTGTAAGTTTCTGTCTCCGTTGTTCAACATCCGATGACTGAAAGATTAATTTATAAAACTACAGAGCCCCCTGGTGGCCATGGAGGAATCTTTTTTTAATTTTCTTTGCTTTAAATTATTTATTATCTATTTAAAATCGCACACATACTTTAAAAGAGTCTCATTGAAAATATAAATATACATTTTTAACTCCGGTGCTTAAAACTTGATTGAAAATTAATCCATTACTGCGTGTTTGTTTATGTGAAGTTTAGCTGAAAACTTTCAGACTGCTTACCAAAAACCAATCAGAACTGTTAGAAGATTTTATCAAGCACCTGAAAAACACAAAGTCTGAACTGAATAAGGTTTCCCAAGTTTAAGGCTGATGTCACGTTGTTCTCTAACCACCAGGTGGCGCCCCGGCTGGTTCTGACTCGTCTCAGCAGCTCCTTCATGTTGGTACGTCGACACAGATGAATGATTTTATCTTCACTTCATGTAAATCAGATCCAGATCCCAACAAACTAACTTTTTATTTTCATGCTGTTAGCTTTTGGCCAATTTTATATTTGTCTCATTAGTTTTACTAAACTTTATTTCTATTTTGTCATTGATGTGATCTTGTTTGTTCTGAAGCGTTTTGGTCTGAAGAGTTTGTTATAAATGTGCTATATAAATAAACTTTGATCTTTCTTTTCTTAAAATATAAAAACAGAGTGTCAAGTTGCAGTTGCCAAGGCATCCAGAGTCAAAATACACGTCTCTACAGTCGACCCGTACGACGTCAGGAAGCTCTGCTGCACTCAGATAGTCAAGGTACACACACACACACACACACAACACACACACACACACACACACACACACACACACACACACACACACACACACACACACACACACACACACACGTTCCTGTATGCTTTAGGCTTTAAAATGAAATAACAGGAATGTGATTAAAATCTCGTTGGCTTGCCGTATTTCTAGAGGTCAGAGGACGTCGAGTTTCGAGCGTCGGTTTGCTGCAGCATCGACTCCAAGCTGCAGCATCACAGCAGGATGGAAGTCAGAGTTTACAGAGAGGATGATTTAAGGTCACACTCCTCAGTAAGTGTGTGTGTGTGTGTGTGTGTGTGTGTGTGTACGTGTGTGTGTGTGTGTGTGTGTGTGTGTGTGTGTGTGTACGTGTGTGTGTGTGTGTGTGGTGTGTGTGTGTGTGTGTGTGTGTGTGTGTACGTGTCAGTTTTGGAGATTAATTTTGAGAGAAATCAAGTCAGTTTGTGCTGGTTTTGCACATCCTCACCATTAATCCTCTTATAGACACACAAACAAAAAGCTGTAGTAAAACACACACACACACACACACACACACACACACACACACACACACGCGCACACGCGCACACACACACACACACACCTGATGGATTTGTAAAACGGAGAACAAGCTCAGTTTATTTCCGTTTTTCAGCTCCGTTTCTCTTGCCAGGAGCTTTTTTAATCTCCAAATATTTTCCCATGATGCACCTGGGGGGCGTGTTTTTTTTTTTAATCCCTCCAGCTACGACAAAATGGGAGGAGGAGTAAAAAGTGAGAGCGTGGGGAGGAGAAACAGTTGATTCTTCAGCTGAAGTCGTTCCTGGTTTTGTCTGGATTTGTGGAAACTTCTTTGTTTTTAATTCTAATCTGAAGGATTAATCTTTTAACTCCTCCATCGCTCCGCTGATGTTTGACTTTAGCAGTAAAACTGTCAGTAGGCTTTAAACTGATGGTGCAGGTAGGAAACTGAAATCTGAAATGAGCTTCAGCTTTACATTTCTGCTGTGAAGCCGTTTCTATTTGGCATTTAGATCCTAATCTCTTAATCTCAAACTGATATTTTTGGAAAGAAACTGAAAACAACCAACAAAATGGATCAAAATTCAGTCAAAAACAAGGAGCAGGAGCAGAATAACTGCTTTTTACTACATAATGTTCAAAATAATGACAAATTTAGATAATTTTTCCAACTTGCAGCTGGAGGATCAATTTATCTATTTTTTATTCTACATCCAGCAGCTCTGGTTGCTCTAGCTCTTTACCTTTAAACACTCCTCAAAATAAAACATTCTCAAGATGCAGCGAGCGATGATGGCCTGCGCCGACTGTTTACGTCCTCCGAGAGACGACAGCTCCCCTGCTGGACAGGTAGGGCATTGCACGGCTTAAACTAACAGCAGGGAGGCGCGTTTGAGGTGCTGAAATATCAAAAAACTGAAAAATACTCAACATGTAAAGTTATGAATAGGATTGAATTAGAGCTGAAATGATTAATCGTGAGTAATTGTGATTAATCGTGAGTATTTGTGAGTATTTGTGATTATTTGTAATTAATTGTGATTATTTGTGATTAATTGTGATTATTTGTGATTAATTGTGATTATTCCCAACTCAGGAAATATTCAGATGAATCCAAATTAACCTGAAATTTATCGTCATATTGAGTGGAAACATGATCAGAAATGTGTAAAACGTTTTTATTGAAGTCGTCGTTTTCAAATTGAACTTTAGCCACATTTAAATGTACCAACAGCCCCAGAAGAAGAAGGTGACGGTGAATGTTTGGTGTTTAGATGTAAATTTCTCTCACTGTTTGATGATAAACGCTCGCTGGACGCAGGGAGGAAGTTGCAGAGGCGTCTGTCTGTAAACCACAAGCAGAGCTCAGCTCAGCGTCTCACACATCTCCTTCATCTCTCCTTCAGCCAGAAACACTTAGAGTTAGAAAATGTTTTTCTGGTCAGGAGTTGGTCTGATATCAGGGTTTGCTTACCATGCTATCTGACTTTAACGACATAGACATAATGACTTCCAGTTTGAAAACATCCACCATGATTGTTGGTTTTTACTCCAGCAGAAGGAAGAAGATCCTCTGTTCACATGATCTGATGTGAAGCTTTGGGTTTGATCAGCGTCCAAACTGACACATCGAGGTTAAAGGTGACCCGTTTGGTTTCCTTTCACAGGTTAAAGCGACACAAAAAGAGGTTCACAGAATCATCCTCAGATAACCAGATGTCAGGCGGGTCAGCTGTTTTAGCGCTCTGTCACTTTAAATCCAAATGAGCCGATCATGTGAAAATGGCTGCAACATGACGAGTCTTTACAGATCTTGTTGCAAATGTGAGCTAAAAATCTAAATTTGACCAAATTTTCTTGCCTAGTTTCTATTGCAAATGTCTTAATAAACTAGAAATTAAATGAAACTATCTGATAAATGACTTTTTAGCAATAAATTGAAGCTTGTTTCAAGTAAAATTGATGAACAGGCTCTATATCTATTGGCAGATTATTTCATTTACAACACAGGAGAAATGTCGAATAAATCTTCCAGTGGAACCAGAACTTTTTAATCAATATTAAGGAATCATTTCCTCTAGAAAAGCTCCTCTGTTTTACTGAAGTTATTTGTAAATCAGTCTAATTTCACGTGTACTAAGATCCAGTTGAAGTTTCTTGTCGATCTAATTTGGCCCATTTATCTCGTTTGTTTTGAATGAAACGTGAAGCGGCGTTTAGCGCCCAGCTGTGGCGTCCTGTGTGTGTCGTGTTTCTAGGTTTGATGAGGATTAACGCGTAATCCTGAAAGCCTCTTGTTTGGCCGGGAGCTCATTGAGAAACATTGGCTCGGCGTGTCGTTGCACGTTGGCCTTTGGTTGCACCGTCAGCGAGGAAATGAGGCAACAGTTTGCATTTCTTTAGCATGCGGTAACAGCGCTGCAGGGAATTTTTGAAAGTTTGAAAGACTCTCTGAACGCGTCAGTCAGATCCGGGCTTGTTTTTTTACTGATCAGTTAAAAACCTGAGGAGGTGAAAGGAAATAAAACTGCAACATTTTCCAAAAATACTGTCTGACAAACTGGAACATTTGCATGTCTAGAAGAAAAATCTGGAATAAATGCATTAACTATGATGCATCAGTTTTAAACCCAACCAGAGTCTGAGGGGATTCACTGCAAACACAACATTTTACCAAAAGTGTTTCTGTTAGTTTCTAATTATCTTAGTTCACTTGAAATAAAACAAAACTTGTATTTTCCAAGCCTTGTTTTCTCAGGCCTGGTGAGAAATATTTGGCCTCTTTTCTTCCTGAACCTTGTTGTTTGGGTTCATATGTTATTAGCTAACGACATGCTAATAAACAGTAGCATGTCGTTAGCTTGTGCTAAACCCAAAATGGATGTGAAAACATTAATCTTGAAACCAAAACCAACATGTTTCATCACATTCAGAGCCAAAGTCTTTCCTCTGTAGCTCCTCCCCTTCGTGTTTGATAAAGCATCTTAATCTCAGGTTGTGTCGACTTTAATAAACCTTTTCTGAGACTTTTCTCTGTTTCCCTTCACTTCAGTGTTGTGATTTTCTGTCGACTGTGTCGCCTGATTTGAGGGCTTTAATCCCCTGAGCTGCTGATTATCCTCGCTGCAGCTCAGTGACTTTGGACTTTGCTCGACTCTTTTATTAAAGATGGCCGCCGGTTTGTGGCCTGTCTCTGTGCATAGAGGCTAAACTCCTCAAAAGGTCCACTATAGTCGTAAAAATGCTGAAATGTGCCATTAACTTTATTTAGATTTATTTTCTTAAGATTTTCTTTTCAGTGATTCTGTGCATTTTTCTCCTTTTTGCTCAAAGTGAAATAAAGTGACATTCTGCCAGAAGATTGTTTTGAATAGTGAGCGTTTTGGTGAATCTTTAACGTCTCATTTTATTCTTCCTGCTTCACATAATCATCTGGGATTATGTTTTCAGTCCTCTATCAGCGCCCCCTGCTGGCCATGCGACTAAAAGCTGAATTAAGTAGAAAGTAGTTTCACTTCCAGGAATCCAGCAGGTGAATAAATCCTGATCAGACAGAGCAGCGCGGCGTAGAGTGATGTTTCAGTTTTATTTTCCAATGCCATCATGTTTTCTTTCGACTCTAGACCGAACAGCAGAGACTCAGTGCACTGTTTGCAACGTTACACATATTTTAACCTCAGGTTTTGTTTTGTTTCAGAGGAGCTGTTTGGCTTTCACATCGTTCTCCATCAGAGATCTGCTCCGGTCCAAAGAGCCTCGCTGCTCCCTGAAGCTCAGGTAAACTTTCACTGCTGCGCTGATGTCATGTTCATTCCTTCCACTCAGCTCTGCAAAAACTCCATCTTATTTGTGGTTTTGTTCATTTATTTTGGATACTTAAAATGTCTTCCAGGTAAATGTTCATTAGAAGTTAAAGTTTATTGATCTTTGAGAACGTGTTCTTGCATTATTAACATTATATTAGTTGAAAATTGTATCAAAACAGCAATATTATTGCTTATAGAAGTAACTTCTAGGACAATTTATCCTCCAGAAAAACCACAAACTGCCATTAAACTGATAAAAAGCCTAAAATCTTGTTTTTCTGATGGGCTGTGAAACATCTCTGAACTTTGGAAGCGAGCTAAAGTGAAATCAGAGAACCGGCATTCGATCTCTGCGCTCTCATTTCTTGTGAAAAACACTTTTGTAGTCAATGAGGTTCTTCTCAAACAGCCTGTAGATAGAAGTCCAGCTACCTGCCTGCTGATTGGCTGTTGCTGGGATACCTTTAGCCAGAAGAGGAAGTGAGATGGGGCAGCGTGTGTCTCCGCCTCCAGACCCGTAGAGGAAAAAGTCTCTTCCTGTTATGCATCAAATCACCTTCAGAAGAGAAGAGAGAAGACGCAGACTGAATGCTCACACATGCCTCAGTGCAGGTTTGCAGTTTGCTTGTGGTTTTCCTTCGCTGGATGGTTTTCTCTTTCAGTTTATTTGTTCAAAAATGAGACGATGTACGACCAGAAACGTTCAGGATGATGTCACTTCCTGCAGGTGTCGGTCCAGGTCTGATCTTACCAACTACTGGAACTTTGTCAATGTAGGTTTATTGGCTTTGTGTCGCATAATTATCAACAAAATATAAAGTAGAGTTAACTCACTGCTAACACAGTTGAAATAAGAGGTTTAAATTCTTTTTTTTCACATTTTGAAGTTAAATTAGACTTTGCTTAGTCTTAAAACAAGGCTAAACTTGTCTTGTTTTAGTTCAGCTGGAGTTATTTCTGTTTGCTAAAAGCCACAATCAAGAGCTGGAATGTCAGAGATTTATTTATTGATGTTTCCACTCACACACAGAGTTACTACCATCTGGAAAATTCACATATTATCCCTTTGTTTGATTCCCTTTGTTAATCAATAAGTTGATATTTTTTGTTGCCTGGATAATTATCCGTTTCAAATTCAAATCCAGCGCTTTTGTTCTGCTGGTTTGATTTATTGTACAATGGCTGCTGGAAAATACAAGTTCGATTAGATTGGATTATAAATATCTTTGTTGCTGAGCTCATATTTCTATTTAGTCAATAATTTAGCAGCCAAACTGGTTTTTGAATTGAAACTTATCGTCCTAACGGCTCATTTGACGTGCCATACAGAAACCACTTGCTAAATACTTGTTGGTTGTGCAGGAGGCTCAACTTATGCATACTATGACGTACATCTGAATAATTGCACATCGGTTTCTAGCCATTTTTCATGTGCGAGTGTAAAGGTTGAGTTGGGGGGGCGTGCTTGCAGCAGATTATTTGGATTTAAAGGGACAAGACACCCTAAAATATCTGAAACGTGTTCAGGCTAAAAATTGTCTAGGAAAGTTTTTGTGCAGAAGATGTCAGGAACATGTTTTGTTTAGGCCATAAGCATATCCTAACCTGTTCAGGGAAGCATCATTCCTCACCTTTAAGCAATGAGGGAAAGCCCAGATGATGATGTCATAGCTTTAGGAACTTCTTATAGGTTTAGCAAATGGAAATAAATTAGATGATTCCATTTAACATAAATTTATCTTAATAAAGAGAAGTTTGCTCAGACTGTGAGGAAGGAGTATGTAAACTTCTGGTTTCAACCTAGCAAACCATTGACTGGAGATTTTAATATCAAGTGTTGCTATGAATCCATATTTAGCTCTTTGCTCGTTCTTTGTTGTCATTGTTTGTTGCTTTCAGCTGTGACCGTGACCTTTAGAGGCCGACCAATCAGATGGTTAGAAATCGGTCAGCTGATTATTCCCCTTTATCCACTTCAGCAGGTCGAAAACTGGAAGACCTGCTGCTTTTTTTAAAGTAGATTAAATGTATGAAAACTATTAACTGCAGTTTATCTAATTTATTGTGTTTCTGTGATATTTTGCAACAATTATTTATTACAGCAGAAAAAGTTTTAATACATCAAGAAGCAGTAAAGTTATTAAGAAACATTTATTTACACTTTTCTCTTTTTCACGTTGAGATCAAAACTTTTAGCCGTATCAATGTGTGTCCATTTTGTTGGACTGAATGCGACCCGGTGTCGGAACCAGAACCGTCGGGTCTCACATGTCCGTCCTCCTGATCCTGATCTGGGTTCGGTTCCCTTTGTTTTCAACCTTCTGGTCGATGTTTTCTTGCTCGGTTTTGGGTTCGATGCTCCAAACCATCCCTACAATATTTACATCCCTGCTGAGTTTTCTAGTTTATTGTCAATTATTGTAAATAGTTTCTTGCTTTTGTGCACAAATGCACATTTTAAATTTTTTCTCCTCTGCACATTCCTTTAGTATTTCTAATAGTTTTTTATGTCTTAGTTTTGCTCGAACTGTACAGTATGTTTTTCTTCTATTTTTATGAAGTGTTTGTTTACATGTTTGGATTTTATGTCACTTTGATGGTTTTACACTTGAATTTCCCTTTTGTGGGACAATAAAAGACATTTTATTCTGTTCTATTTGTTGTGTTTTATTTTTATCAATCATATTTTTCTCCTTTTCAGTTTTCTCTTGTTGCTGCCTTTTTGTTTTTAGATTTTTTCACACCAGTGGGTTTCATTTTCACCTGGCCGCCTCCTTCAGCTCTGTCTTCTGTCCGTTTGTCTTCGCTGCAGGACGATGGACGGCGTGAACGAGGTCGGGGACGTGACGGTTTCCCGCCTGCAGCCGGACGAAGAGACGGAGGATCAATCTGCAGAAAACAAGGTGGAGGAAGAGAAACATTTGTTTCTTCGTTCTCTCAGCAGAGAGTTTCACTTTGATACTCGTCTTTGCGGTTTCCTTTCTCATATGTCGAGACTTCATCTTGTTATGTGTGTCATGGGTAAGATGGAGATAAAGGTGCAGTGCGTAATTTTTATATAGAATATGATCTTTACATATTTGTTAAAACTGTCAGCAAACAGATAAACTGTGAAAACATCATCAGTGGCCAAGTTAAGAAGATTGTGATTGACAGCGCTAAGCCCCGCCTCCTGGCTCTGATTGGTTGTTTCTAATTGGCACTGGAAGAAGGCAGAGGAGCTCAGTTGTTTTTACAAATGATCTGTTTCATTCCATAATCTCATGACAAAGAGACAATTTCAATAAATATGTAAAAAATGTTTTTTATAAAACTTTCATACTGCAACTTTAAAGAAAACCCATCAGATAAAAATTTAATATTTTCATCCATTTGATTTTCTACTGCTCCTAAAAACAGCCAAAGTGTTTAGAAAAAACCTTTTTAGTGTCTGGAAAATGGCCCATTTCAAAAACCTCCTGCTTATATTACACAGGTACTGTTCTGTTACCTAGCAGAAAAAAGCTTTAGCACATTTGGTCAGCTGGTTTTACCACCATATGCATGGCACAACGGCTGCTGGAAAAGACAAGTGCTTTGTCATTGACTCACCATCCAGAATCCACTTGTGGCATTCCTGTTGGTTGTGCAGGAGACTCCACTTCTGCTTCTCAAAGATGCACGGTTGTGTAATTGTTTAACCGGTGAGTCTGAACATTGAGTTTGGTGGTGCAACCAGCAGCAGATTATTATTAGAGTGAAATCAAAAACATTAAAATCTCATTACATTTATAATAATTTTCTATTATAAATGTAATGAACAGGTTTTGTTTAGGCCATAATTCTAGAAGAACAGTGTTTTCTGTCCATTTCACCTCCACTCAGACATGATCGCTGCTTCTCTCCCTGCAGAGCGCCGTGCTGTGTGACGCGCTGCACGGCTCCGTCCAGGACAAGGAAAACAGTCCAATGATGCAAGCAGGTGAGACTCCGGCCGGCGGCCATGTTTCTGCCCGACCCTCCGTCCTCCAACAGGTGTGTGTCTGCAGCCTTGTGCTCCCAGGTGTGTAAGCTGTACAGGTTTCAGACGGAGGATCACAGGTGGCTGCTGGTCCGGGAGCAGATGTCAGAGACGCCGCTGTCCTTCTCCTTACCCAAACAGCTGCTGAGCGCGCTCATCAGGGAGCACACCGACAGGTAACAAAGGGTTAACGGCACAACAGCTCCGTTATTCATAGATAAAGTCATATTATTATTTTCTCTTCTGCTTTCCAGTGGAAATATTTTAGTTCAGATGAAATCAGAAACTTTTATCCCAGATTTTGTTGCTCAGGGTCGAGGAGGTCAATGCGCTCGGTGACCTTTCACCTCACTGGGACGGCCTCCGCCACGACGCCGTCGCCCACTCCCTCCAGCTGATCGGCTGCTACCAGCAAACGCAGGCGGAGCTGCACCGCCTCTCCAGTGAGATCAGAGTGACATCATCAGCGATGACTCAGCCGGGCCTTCCTCACCTCACGCTCCCTCCTCTTCCTCTTCCAGCGGCGTCCTGCTTCAAGGCGAGCAGCAGCAAATCGGACCGACACCTGCAGTTCATCCCCACCAACCTGCACAGCCAGAGGATGGAGGTGACCGGCCCCGGCAGCTCAGGTAAGGCACAGCGCCCCCTACAGGTGTTTGTCCCACTTCCTGTATTCCCCAGATGTTTTCCTCTCTTCCCGTTTCCTCCAGGTGTTTTCCTCTCTTCCCGTTTCCTCCAGGTGTTTTCCTCTCTTCCCGTTTCCTCCAGATGTTTTCCTCTCTTCCCGTTTCCTCCAGGTGTTTTCCTCTCTTCCCGTTTCCCCCAGATGTTTTCCTCTCTTCCTGTTTCCTCCAGGTGTTTTCCTCTCTTCCTGTTTCCTCCAGGTGTTTTCTTCTCTTCCTGTTTCCTGCAGGTGTTTTCCTCTCTTCCTGTTTCCTCCAGGTGTTTTCCTCTCTTCCTGTTTCCTCCAGGTGTTTTCTTCTCTTCCTGTTTCCTCCAGGTGTTTTCCTCTCTTCCCGTTTCCTCCAGGTGTTTTCCTCTCTTCCCGTTTCCTCCAGGTGTTTTCCTCTCTTCCCGTTTCCTCCAGGTGTTTTCCTCTCTTCCCGTTTCCTCCAGGTGTTTTCCTCTCTTCCCGTTTCCTCCAGGTGTTTTCCTCTCTTCCCGTTTCCTCCAGGTGTTTTCCTCTCTTCCCGTTTCCTCCAGGTGTTTTCCTCTCTTCCCGTTTCCTCCAGGTGTTTTCCTCTCTTCCAGGTGTTTGGTACGAGGTCGTCACGTTCGGAGCGCCGGCCGATCACCACCAGGCCTTCAAACATGGAGGACTGAAGCGGCTGCTCAGCAAGCACACAGACCACACATACAGGTGACCCTTGACCTCAGATTCACAGCTAAAAATACTTTAGTTTAAAAGAAAATGATGATGAAACACATTTTTGTCCCTTGCCAGAATATTTTTCGCAAACCTTTTAGAAATATCTTAAATATAATTATAATTTCTGAATACAGATTGAGAGATTAAAGTTTTAGCTTCACTGACTGAAGTGAAATAATTTGAACATTTTCATCAATTTTACAAATTTCAATCTTAAAACAAGTTGATCTTTCTTGCTGAAATATTGCTTTTCTGTTATTTGTCTTATTTTACGTGCACTAAGACATTTTAATAGAAATACATTGTAGCAGTTCAAGTGTTTGTTTAATTTTGATACCGACATGACAGAATTGGTTTTGTTTATACCTCAGTTTGTGTTGGAGTTGTTTCTCACCGTTCCTTCGCCTTCAGCTCGGCGTCGTTTTCCCGTGACGAGTCGTGCAGAGCGAAGCGGCTGCTGGCCGCCGCCACCCAGCTGCAGCCTCTGATCTTCGGCCTGGCGGAGCAGCTGCTCTCCGTGTCCATGGAGGTCGACTCGAACCGCCTGCAGGACGTCCTGGACGACCTCAGGGAGCAGGTGAGAGAAACACACGCACAGCTAACAGGAAGGCAGATGAACCTGACTCGCTGCTCGCTTCCCTGCAGACGTCGCTGTTCATTCAGGCGCTGAACGACGATCTGGTGAAAGTCGCCCTGCAGGACATGAACAGCCGGGCCAGCAGCCGCAGCAGCCACCTGCACAGCAACGGGTTGCTCTGTGAGGTGTCCCCCAGCGACCAGGAGGGGGCGCCGCAGGACGACACGGAGAACAGAGAGGAGGAGTGGGCAAGTTGGAAAGGGTGGGACGGGGTTGCCAGGTCTGACAGTTTCCAGCAAAAACACAACAAAAAACAAATGAATGCAATGAAACTAAGATAACATTAGATAGAGTCATGAAAGAATAAATGAACAAACGACTGAAGAAACGATAAAAGATAAAAGGAAGGAACAGCAAACAAACAAATGAAACAAATGAAGGAATAAAAGAAGATGTGAATAATGTAGCATTTACTAAAGTTTGATGCTTTTCTGCCACACAGTGACAACGGCTTTAAAACAATTTTTCTCTCGGACAAATTTTATGAAAAGCATCCCAAATTTTAGCAACCCGTCGAAATCAGTTTTTTTTTCCAGTCCAAAGTTCAAAAGCAGCAGAAACTTTCCCAACCTGTGTGTGGTTGTTTCCATCGGTTGCCTAAACGTGTTTGCTTGTGTAGGACAGAACGTGGGCGAACGTCGGTAAGAGTCTGGACTGCATCACGGCCATGGTGGAGCGGCTGCAGGAGCGACAGCGCCACCTGCAGGAGCAACAGGAGTCCACAGGGGACACAAAGTCCCAACACACAGGTGGGACAGAAAGAGACAAATGTCCCAGTTTGTCCAACAGTAAATTTAGCTCAATAAATCCTTTCCTTTCTCAAATTGCTTGACAAAATAAAAGCATAATTTAAAAACATAAAATAATCAGAAAAATAAGAGTCATTTTTGGGGCCATATATGATTATTTTAGTAAATCATAATTTCTATCAGTTTAGTTATTTTTTAAGCAGTTGGAATCTATTTAAGCTCGTTTAGAAACAAAATCTATAATATTTTCATTTATTTGGAATTATTTTGATTACTTTGGAAACTTTTCTACCTACCATGAATTTAAAGAGATGAAGAAAACAATGGGGGCCAAAGTGGAAATATTTTTATTTTGTTTTTTAAATGTCCAGTGTGACATTATTATATTATTTGATTCTTTTACAGCTTAAAATAACAATTTTGAATGAAAAATCTTCGCCTTCTCCCAATAGTTATTACACTATAAAATAAACAACTATCTTTATATAGAGATAATAATAAAGAAATATCTTAAGTTTACATGCGACTTGTAAGAAATGATCAATTTTTATTTTGTTTATATTTTTTATAAAACTGAGCTTTTTGTTTCTGGAGCCTAGAAACAATAAATTAAAAATGTTCAGAGGAAGTTTCTCTCCTCTCCTCCTGCAGGCTCTCCTTCCTCCTTCTCCTCCTCCTCCTCCTGGCAGGAGCAGCTGCTCCCCCTGGTGGTCACGCTTAGGGACTGCGTGCGGGAGGCGGTAACCACGGCCCGAGCTGCTATGACCTTCGTTGTCCTGCAGGGGGCGGTGGCTGCGACTGTTGCTCAGGGTCCAACGCAGATCGTCCAGCGGCGCCACGCCGTCTTCAGCCAGGGGGTGAGAAAGAAACTCTGTCCCTGTCCGCCATTTTATCCTGAAGACATTTTGGTGTCTTTGGAGATCAGAAACAATCAGTTTTAAACCAACTTCAAGTTTAATAACATTGGTTTTATGTTTCCATGATGACAGATTTTAAATGATGACATCACAGCTAGACGTTTCCTTAAAATACTTTTTTTGTTTTAGAAAGTATTTATGTTTAAATAATCTACAAATATATGTAAAAAAGCAGCAAAAAGTGATTTTAAAATATTTAATCTTGGATTCATCTTCATAGTTTTTTAGGTTCTTGTTCCATATAAATAAAAATGTAACTTCCTGTTTTATTGTAAAGCTTCTCTCTGTTTATCTTCCAGCTCTCGGCGATTGTTTGTGGATTTATGCTGAAACTGTTTGGAGGTTTGGAGGATCCAGAGTTTCTGCAGCAGCTTCTCTCTGTGGGGATCCTGGCCCAGTTTGAAAGCCTGCTCAGCACCTACGGTACGACCCGAACAATCAGCCCCACATTTTTATTTTACAGGATGAAAAATACCTCTGAGAGGCTTTGAGAATTTATCTCTCTTGTTTTTTGCTTCAGTGCTTGAAAACCTTGAAAATATTTGGATTTCATTCAGTTTTGGTTTAGTTTCTAGTGCAAATATCTCACTACATCTAGAATAAGATGAAACTAAATTATAAACAACTTTTCATCAAGTTATATGAGCTTGTTTTAATGAATAATCTCTTAAAACTGGAGAAAACGTTCTATTTCTACTGGCAGATTATTTCACGTAAAAATAGAAATCATCTATAATTTAGTTTTGTCTTATTTTAAGTGTATTATTTTCTTTGAAGCAAGACTAAAATTACTTGGTAAGAATGTTGTGTTTTTGCAGTGTGTTGCTGGTTACTTGGGAATTTACCTTAAATGCTGTAATGTGTGAGTCGCTTGTGGCTCCAGGTGACGAGGTGGGGATGCTGGAGGACATGGAGGTGGGCGTGGCCGACCTGAGCAGCATGGCGTTCGCCATCACCGAGGCCCGATCCGAGCGACCCGACGACCTGCAGCCGACGCTCACCGGAGCATGGTGAGCGCTCTCACACACACACACACACACACACACACACACACACACACACACACACACACACACACACACACACACACACACACACACACACACACACACACACACTCAGAAAGCCTCATCTCGGGTCATTTCTCCTCCATCCAGGGGCGGTTTTGTGGTCCAGGTGCCGCTTCCCTCTGAAAGCTTCAGGTCGCTCCCTGAGGAGCTGAAGGCCGGCCGTTTGATCCGAGTCGAGCCGGTTCTGTTCAACATCGGGATCAACCAGCACCAGAGTCTGGCTGAGAGGTACAAACACAAAAACATTAACATCTGGGAGATAAAATTACCTCATTTTTTCATCCAGTGTTTTCCTTTTAGTTGAATTTTTGGTTTAAACATGCTTGTTTTTTGTTCAGTGGGTAGAAAATCCAGACATTTTACTCAAGTTAGAGTAAAAATACTTCATAATAAAATGACTCAAGTAAAAGCAAAAAGTACAGCATAGGAAAATATTCCTAAAAGTAAAATTACTGAAGTAAATGTAACAAATTACTACCCAACTTTGATTAGTACTCTACCCACCTCTGTGTATTACTAAAATAAATATAAATATAAGTGATATCTACTGCAGTACTTACTGAATTAGCTCAGCTAATGTAGCTTTTACATGCTAGCTGAGACATGTTTGTTGCTCCATGTAATTAATTACTCTGCTTTTCATTTATTCACCTGAAGAGTTTGTCTGTTCTTTAAAAAGCCGTTTAAATAAATGGATCTCAGTGAAACTCCTCCATCTTGTACGCGTTAGTTATGAACTTTATTGTAGTGTCAGATCGGAGACATGGCGTCGCTATGCGCCGCGCTCGCCTACCAAGATGGCGCCGATCACTTCCTGTTCAGACATGTGGGAACTGCGTATGAAGATTTATTTTCTGTTTTCAGGTTTGGAGACAGTTCTCTTCAGGAAAGAGTGAATCAGCAGAGCTGTGAGCGACTCAGAGCTTATTGTAACAAGCTGAGAGAAAAACTTCCTAACATGGGTGAGACTGAGAGGTTTTTGTTTTTTTCATTTCTTTATAGAATATAAAAATTTAATCTAAATGTTTTTCCTTTGAAAAAAAGTTTGAAATGACAGAAAACGTCTTAAAAACATTATTTCAATTTATTTAAATTGACCTGAATTCAAAGAGAAGCCGTACATCTCAAACAAGATGGCCGCTCTTTTTGCAGTGGTGGAAAAAAGTCCAGATTTTCCTAATATTTTATCCTGGAGCCAATTGATAGTTTGGTTAATTGATAGAATTGATTTATTGCCCAGCTTTATGTCTGAACTGAAGCAGCTCTTTCTCTCCCTCAGCTGGTATCCAGTCACTATTAGACCTGCTGTCGTCTCTTGATCGCAGTATCGAGTCCAAGAAGAGGAAAAACGTCGAGGTTTTGTGGCTCGCAGCTTCAGTAAGTCGCTCTGCTCTACAGATTAACTTTGTTTCCATCAGAACTGAACGGTTAGGAATCTCAAGAGCTGAAATAAACTTAAATAAATGCTTATAATTCTACAACAGAAAATAATTCAATTCACAAATATTCTTATGTTCAAATGCTAAAATGAAGTTGTTCTTTTCACCATTTCTATGCAGGTAAATCTCAAAAACTATAGTTTAATGTTTTTGATTTGCACTCAAAAATAGAGATTTAATCACTTAATAAAACCAGGAAGTTTTGAAACAGACCCAAATTCAGCTGATAGATTGTGTGGATGAAATCACAGGGAGAATTTTGGGATTTAGTTTTTGTTGTTTGACTTATTTTTTCAGTGCCAGTTTAAAGTAGAAGAAATGTGCCTGAGTAACACTGGAGCTACTGAACTTGAATATCAGTAAATATCAACATCATCTGCAAAGTTTGGCCCATATTGTAAATATAAATAGTGAAAATGTTGGCACTAATACTGAGCCCTGAGGGACACTATTTGTAATATTTTAAAAAACAAAATAACATTTTATCTATTTAAAATAAAAGTTATTAAAAATTATTATTTATATTAAAAGTTAGTTTTACTTTTTACTTTCTAATTCGGCTCCATTTTTGTTTAATTTTGTGAAAAATTAAGTTGTACTTTTCAGAGGTTTTCATGTCGTTTCCTTCAGTGGTTCTCGATGCAGCGCCCCACAGGTGAGGAGGGGAACAGGTTTTTAAATTAGTTTGGTTTGTTTGACTCAGTGCAGTGAGAAATCAAAAGCAGCATCTGAAAGTGTAAAAACTTTCCACCTTTGGTCCCCAGATAACTTTCTCCATGTTTTTTGTGTGCAGGTGTGTCGTAGAGTAAACGGCGTGCGGCTGACCAGCTGTAAGAGCGCGAAGGATCGCACGGCGATGTCTGTGACGCTGGAGCAGTGTACGATCCTCAGAGAGCAACACACACTCAGCCAGCAGCAGTTCAGCTCTGCACTGGACAACATGAGGAGGTGAGTGTGGTCAGCTGTCTTCCTATCCTGTTCATCTTCTCCTGAGGGTTTTTCAACTGGTTTGACTCAGTTTGGTGTGAAGGAAAAATGTAACAAATGTTGGTATTTTCGATTCTACTGGACTATCAAGTGTGAAAACATCCTCAGTTTCTGCATCTTCATTTCCAGTTTTCTATCTTTTAATTTCCTTCCTTCTCTTTCTGTTTTCTCTCTCTTCCGCTCCCTCTTGTTGCACACGCTGCCCCCTGCAGGTCTCGTCTGTCCTGGGGGCAGATGCTGGGCTGCTATGCCCACTCCGGGTTCTCTGTCTCTGGGTTTGACCCGGCAGAGTGTCCCTCCGGCCTCCTCAGCCCCTGGATGCAGATGTGTTTTCATTCCAGAAGACATTTTTACCCTGTGGCCTTCCTCCTGGTGACCTCTCACCTCCTGGTTCTCTGGCTCATATTCAGCTTGGTGATCCTACTGGCTAAATACCAGTAAACAAGACTGGGAGCACTGGAAAGCAGGGATTATAATGTTCTCCCAGGTTTGTCTACATGGGGAGAACGTAAATAAATCCAAAGTTCTGTGTGTTTTAGGAAAGACAGAGAAACAATTAGCCTTAATTTATTACCATCCTGATGATTTACAGTCATCAGTCAGTTTGAGTTTGTTTTACAAAAAGCAAGAATGTTTGAGTTGTTTGTTCAATAGGTTACTGATTTTTCAATTTAATCTGAGATTCGTTTGTTTAGATTTAGTTACTGACTTTTCCAAATATATTCCTATGTTTCTTAATCTCTGCTTGTTAATTTATCCTTTCTTGTTTGTTGTTTTATTTCTGACAGCTTCATTTGGTTTTTGATGCTTTTTATGTTGAGTTTTGCTGCCACCAAGTGGCCAAATTGAATTTAATCACTGCAAAAAATCAATTTTTCCAAGTATTTTTCATCCAGTTTCTAGAGCAAATATTTTACTACGTATGAGCTTGTTTTATATGAGCTTGTTTTAAGTCAATAATTCCTTAATATTGCAGAAAAGTACTTGTTCCATTGGCAGATAAAACATTTTTACCATATTATAAGTGAAATAATTTGCCAGCAGATCTAGTTATTTTTCATCAATATTAATAAATTATTGGCTGCTATATATTGTTGAAAAGTTACTTATACTCTTAGTTTTGTCTTATTCTATGTGTACTAGAACAAAAATACTTGGAAACATTTTTGTGTGTTTTATTGTAGCCTACAGTTTGCACAGATAGCCTCTGTTTTTGTAGGACCATAGATCTAGTCAAAGTAAAATCTTATCTCCACCAGAAGATGATGTGTTTTCATACAGGACAGCCTGATTGCTGATCTGTGTTTCTGTTTCTGTGTGTGTGCAGAGACGGCTGCAGGACGGAGAACGTCCAGAAGAACATCGGCACCAGGAAGTTCGCCTTCAGCAGCGTTCAGCTCCTGACTTTCCCCAAACTCTACAGACCTCCAGACGGCAGCTACGGATAAACTCTTCCTGTTTATACTCTTATTTATGCCCAGAGATAGTTTATTTTTCCATGTGAGTTGTGTGTGATTGCTGGTTAATGTTTGCAGATTGTATTTCTGTGTGAATGAGGGCCAGGTTGGCTGTTCAACGTTTACAGGTGTTTGAATTACAAACATGTTTCTGCAATAAATGACTGAACTCTCGAGTCTCTGATTCCAAACGGTTCTTCTGACAGTAAATCCTGGAAAGGCCTAAAATTCACTGCTGAGTTGGAAGTATTATGTATTTATATAATCGATTTCCACAACTTTAGTCTTACAGTGAGAAATTCTCAAATAATTTCAGCCTTATGCAGGCGGGCCATCGGACTGAAAGGGAAATTTCCCAAATGGCGGATCTGTTTCAGGCCATGTGGCCAGAATGTGTTTCTCTCAATATAAAGTTTGACCTGCCACCTCTAAAGATTGTGTTTAACAGCAATATGTAATTCATGTAAGTATTATCTCTTTTGTCTCATAATTGTGTATTTATACTATACCATTCACTCCTCCTGGATATAGAAACAGTAGAAAACTTTTGTACGAGGCAATTTATCAATATTTATTTGGTAGAAATCTATAAATATAACAAAGTAAGTATAAAGCAATAAAAATAAAGCTCTTGTTCAAAATAAAACCTCATGTTTGGTCTGACAAAACAATAACTATAAATGAAATGAGTTCAGGTGAATCAAAACCAGTGCTCGTCTCCATGGCTGAACAGAAACAGGAAGGGGCAGCACTCAAGAAAACTCCAACATCAACAAAACAAACTAGATGACAAAGTAGCTGCATAGACAGCTGATCTCTGAGAAGAGAAGAAATGTCAATGATGGAGACAAAAGAAACTGAAACTGCCAACTATTTCAGTTTAATAAATTTAGCAGATGATTCATCACCTAAAAGCCAAACACCAGCATATAGAGGCTCAGTGAATCTGGTCTGGACTCTGTGGATCAGAGTCATGGTTTTAGAGACGCTGTAGAAGGACAGAATACCTGCTCTGTGATCCAGGTAAACTCCCACTCTGGAGGAAACTGGACCCGATACTGGAGTTAAAATGTTGTTATGACAAAAGATGTAACCTTGTGAGTCACAGCGCAATGACCAAGATTTGTCATTGAATCCAAATCCTGCTGTGCTGCTGATGTTCTTGTATGAAACGGCTACATAGATTTCTCCGTCCCTTTTCACCTCCCAGTAACGACGTCCAGTCAGTCTGTTTATACTGAGGGCTTGACAACGACCAGTAAATCTGTCTGGATGATCAGGATAAGACTGTTGTTGGTTTGTTCTTGTTACTTTTCTGTTTCTATCAGACAGTAACACATTTCTGTGTGCTGTGTTTGGATCCAGACTAATTTTTTGTGAATATTTTAAGAATTCATCTCTAGTCTTAAGTAGTAGAACGTCCACTTCAGTGATCTTCAGATTGATGTTTGTCCACGAGTCTCTCAGGACGTCCTGTACGATGTCTCTGAGCTCTGACACAGCTGCTGTCACGTCCTCAAAGTGTCTCAGAGGACGGATGTTGATGCTGGATGATCCTGTAGACTCACTGAGTGCTGGCAGTGAGGGGTAGTTGAGGAGAAACTGGGTGTGATCCTCTGTGTGTGAGAGCTGCTCCAGCTCAGCGTCTTTCCTCTTCAGCTCAGTGATCTCCTGCTGCAGCTTCTCCTCAACATCTTTGACTCGACTCACTTCAGTTTCCTGCTGGGATCTGATCTGCTGCTTCACATCAGAGCTTCTTTCCTGGAGGAGACGGATCAGCTCAGTGAAGATCTTCTCACTGTCCTCCACTGCTTTATCAGCAGAGACATTGATGGCCTCCACCTCCTGTTGAAGCAGCTTCACATCTTTCTCTTGGTCCTGGATTCTCTGATGGATTTGTTGTCGACTCTCCTGGAACTTCTTGCTTCTCAGCTCTTTCTGCTGCAGCTGGGACTGTTTCATGGCCTTTATGTTCATCCATAGTGCAGAGATAACAGATACTCTGCTGATCAGTACGACAGAAGATCTTCATCACCTCATCATGACGAGAGCAGATGGTCTGCTGGAGATTCTTGGATGGATTCACCAGCTTGTGTTTCTTCAATGGTGGAGCTTCATGGTGAGGTTGGAGGTGATTCTCACAGTAAGAAGCTGGACATGATAAACAGGACTTGACAGCTTTTCTCTTCCTCCCAGTACAGACATCACAGGCCACATCTTCGGGTTCAGCATAGCAGTCAATAGGTGGAATGGTTTTACATTCAGTCTTCTTTAGATCCATCACCAACTTTGCTAATGTGATGTTCTTCACCAGGGCAGGTCTTGGTATGAACTCTTTCCTGCATTCAAGGCAGCTGTATTTTCTCCTCTGATCTTCTCTATCCCAGTGGTCTTTAATACAGTTCCTACAGTAGCTGTGTCCACAGGGAATAGTCACTGGATCCTTCAGTATCTCCAAGCAGAAGGAACAAGAGATATTATCCTGCTGAAATCCTCTCTTCTCCATTTCTGCTCTCATTAACGGCTTGGAGTTTCTTTTTGTTGGAATGGAAACTAGTTTCAGTTTCATGTAAATATTTGGTTACTGTTGTGTCGATGTCCCACCCATCATGACGTCTGCAAAGCAGAGGGGGAGGGAACAAAGAAGCTGTTTGAGCTGAACACAGGCTGATCGTTTAAACTAAAGAATTAATTGTATGAAAGTCAAACAAGGAAGCATTTTATCTCCTATGTTATTTAATTTTGATATGAATGATCTCTCGAAGGAGGACAAATATCGGGTATTTCCTAACTTCAAGCTGTCTGGGACTTTATTGAATGTATCAAATGAAGTAAAATGTCTTGGTCATGTGTTGATGGGTATGTTTTTACAACTGTACTTATGATCCAGTCACAGATGAATGTGTTTGTCTTAGAGCTGCTGGAGTCTGCAGGTGATGGGGGAGCTAAAAACTAAAGACTTAAGAGGAAGTTAGCCATATTTGGAAGCCATTTACAAATATGGCTAACAAATAAGCCATATTTGCTACTTTTGTCATCTTGACTCAAAATAAGGTTTAATATATACATAAAGCTATGCTTTATTCCACACAAGAATTGTTTTATGTTTAAAATGTTTTAATTTTTCACTTTTTCCAGCACTTATAAAACAATTTGTAGAACATTTGTGATGATTTGTAGAACAATTTTAAAGTAAAAGTAAAATACTCAAAACAAACTCAAGTCAAAGTCAAATTTCAGGTTTTCTAAACAACATAAGAAAACATACAATGTACAGTCAAATTGCACTTAATTAGAGTAGTGTGTGAAAATATAACAAGTTACTTTCCACTATTACCTTTTCAACATGCCAATAAGTTCTGAAGAAGTTTATTATTCACTTATTTATTTAGGTTGTGAGCGAATTATGTGTGAACAGTGGTCAAATTTATTTCTATTCATCAAAGTACCTCCCCTTAAAAACATTTTTTGTCAGTAAATGTAACCAGTACTAACAACTTTTGAACATAAATAACAAAATTAGTAGCTTATATTGGTATTTGCAACTCAGCATTTATTTTACATTACCTACAAAACCTCTGCTTTTCGCTGGTTTGTTGCCATGATTCAAACTGTGCTGCGCTGCACAGCAGGATGTTTCATCCGCACAGGTGTAATACAGACGCAACCATCCATTTAAATGCTCATGTCAAAAAACACATCACAACGTGTTAACATTTAAACAGTTAATTAATGAAACAGGCCTGGACAAAAAAGTTAAATGGCCTGTACTTATACACAAATCTGGAGAACATCACATCATATTCAGTCTCTCAGAAACAGATGGTGACAATTTACTGGATTGTAAATCAAGTCAGCAAGGTGCGTTAAGTGTCTTGCCCAAAACGACAACAAAGCAGTGAGCAGAACAGGCACTCCACCACTATGTAATAACATGTTTTCAAGCTTGTAATCAGTTGCTTTAAGTTTCTAGGTTGGTTTTTAACCCCAGGCTGCTGTTGATTTGTCCAGGAAGGTGCAGCACCAAAAA